AGCCTAGCCTAATCTAGACTATATCACATGACTATAACAAATATGTAAGTTTATTAGATACAGGAAGACATAAGTACAATTATCAGTCTAAATTACCTAGGAAAACCCAAGTCAGAGTGACTTATTTCCATCCATTATTACTAGTCATATAGTTAATTCTAATTTCACAGTATATAACATTAATATACCATAACAGTACAAGGTATTATTATTATTATAATCAAAAAGAAGCGCTAAGCCACAAGGACTATACAGCAGTACAAGGTATAAATATATAATAAATAATACTAGCATAACTGCCGACTTGGGAACTGACTTTTCCCAGGTGATTATTTCATCAGAAAACGTCTCTACATCAATACACAGCCTTCCCTAACTACAGTATACATTAACAATGGTTATAAACTAACTTGTTAGCAGCGGGGATGCGCATTCTGCCGGAAAAATGCTGTTCGAACGAGAAAAAAAAGCACGAGACGTTACTTCCAGCTCAGTTTTTTCCCTCCAAAATTTCGCTTAACAAAACATTCTATACAACATTTTCTAAAAAAAAAATTATGAAAGTGGCTCAGACCCCATTAAATATCTCTTATTAATTTTGGTATTACTTATTACGATAAACTATAACTCTAGAATATTAAATAGATAAAGAAGTTGTGAATTAATGCAATTTATTTCAGGCTAAACAACGTTCCTAGTTAATACATATTGGAACATCCTAACCAACTCAATAATAATTACTATAATAATAATTATAATGACCATTTCTGAAGTTTTCCAGTAATAATGTAATAAAATAACATTTTAGCACATTATTCTTAATTTTTTAATGTTTCACGTAATTATAAAATCATGAGGTATTCAGTAACAATATATATTTTTATGGACTTTTCATATGATTTTTTAAAAATATTAGAAATAGTTTCAGGTAAGACATACACATTAAGAACAGTTATGAAATTTTCACAACGAATATTTATCACACCTTAACATAGGCATGACCAGGGAAATATTTGCTTCATTATATAACTCAACACATTTCTGCCTCGGACACTCTCACTACACTCTGTCCAACACATTGTTTTCCTATTTTTATGAGTCCTGTATACGTATATTTGCCATTTGTCGGAGTTTCCTGTTGTGTCCGGTTGGTAGCGGATTCATTTCACACATTGAGGTCTTTGGTTCGATCCCCGGTACGGGTGAAAACTTTGGGTGTGTTTCCTTAAGATATCTGTTGTCACTGTTCACCTAGCAGTAAGTAGGTACCTGGGTGTTAGTCGACTGGTGTGGGTCGCATCCTGGGGACAAAATTAGCCCAAGGTGCCCGAAATGCTCTGCATAACCAGGGCTTTATATAGTGTGTTACTGATGTCAGCTATGGTCTGTATAAGTTGTATCATGCACTTGTAGAAATAAAGATCATTATTATCTTAATCTTTCATGCACCTGCACCCCTATAACAGCATTGTCATGTAATGTTTTGAACCAAATTAAACCTTTCTTATTCATAACTAATGAATGGGAAGGCCTAAGTAAGTTTATTTAGGCAAAGGTACACATATGTACAATCATACATAGGATAACAAAAAAAAAATATTAAAGTGACTTATTTCCATTGGGATCCTGGATTTGAGAGAGCTGCATAGCATGAACCAGTTGTTGTACTAGTAGGCCCCACCTCCTATGACGTTATCTCCATTCCACTTTTAGACCCTAAGGCTGTACCTCTCCCCAGGAGGAAGCCTAAGACGGGTCGCTCTCTGGAAAAGACCCATGACGGGGCCACCGTCTGGCGAAACACCTATGATCATTATTATAATCATGACAGCTTCACACTGATGAAGACAATAGGTCTAGGCTCAACTCAAGGCTGTCGAGTGACTGTCTCATAGCTACTTCTTCAAGGCTGAGGGACTGACCTCCTCAAAACTACTTTTTCAGGCCATCCCTCCACTACAGATTCACGGTGGCCCACAGCCTGATGGCAAAGCTCTCATTTCACACACTGAGGGTCCGGGTTCGATTCCCGGCAAGGCTGTAAGTAAGCATTGGGCGTGTTTCCTTACACCGGTTGTTCATGTCCACCCATCATTAAAAATGGGTACCTGTGTGTCAGTCGACTGGTGTGGGTCGCATCCCGGGACAAAATTGACCTAATTTGCCCGAAATGCTCTGCATAACAAGTGGCTCTCTACGTAGTAGTGTCATTGATGCAGCTTTGGGGCCCAGTCCCTGGACCCATTATGTACCTCTGTAATCTGTAAATACCTTTGTAACTTATCATGACTGTGACCAAATCTACCTTAGAGTTCATTACCTCTGAACTTGCTCAGCTATCATAACTTTGGCGTCCTGTCCCTGGGTCCATTATGTACCTGTGTAATCTTTTGACTACCACCCACAAGATGGGTATGAAGTGACTACCACCCACAAGATGGGTATGAAGTGACTACCACCCACAAGATGGGTATGAAGTGACTACCACCCACAAGATGGGTATGAA